TTRAWAATTCTTCCAAAATTACTAGCTGTTAATTTGTTATTTCTTTCTTTATCCCACTGCTCATTATTACGTTGACCAATTGTTTCAATAGGGATTTTTAAAATATTGCAAGCAGCCAAATCATTCAAAAACTCACTTTTTATTTTTTCATATGTTTCCATTGGCATATCTATTATGTCATCCATCAGTCGCACCATAATCGGAATCTGCACTTTGAATACGAATTTTTCTTTTATTTAATTTCGCAGCTTGAGTTTCTGTGGAATTATTATCGACATCGTACAAAAGACTTGAAGATAAATTTGCAACTCTTTTTAATGCCCGCATGAACAATTCAAACAAAGAACTATTTAAAAAATCAGAATATGCAACTGCATTTATTATTTGACCAACTATTTTACAGAAATACGAAGCGCAATTTGAATGATCACCAATGTGTGGGTCCATTTAAAATATCATTTTTCAAGTTTTCTGTTTTTTGATGAATTGTACAGCTTTCGTTTTTTCTGTATTTTATAGCTGAAACAATTGCTGTTCTAAATTTTAAGTAATTGTTGCGCAAGAATGTTTTTATATTTATGTCGGATCGGGGAGTTTTAGCGATTTCTCTAATTTTGGTACAAAAATTTCGTAATATATGATTTCGGCATTCAATTTTTTGAATGAAATAATTAGGGTCTCGCATTACGAATTTTTTTGTAGACACTGCTATTACAATCTCCTATAAGGTTTTTAAATATTACATTATGCATGTCTATTGATTTTTAAAATCCATCTAAAATAATTGCAGCTTCCATCGAAGTTCTGTTAGTTGAGAATAACCAACACCTATTGCTACTGTGCTACAAACAGCTGCTTCATTTACTTCATTTGTGTGATTTTCTTTTTCGATACTAAAAGTTCTTATTGCCCCACACATACTATATTTGTGTTTAAAAACACTTTTAAACCTCAAATGTGGTTCTAGAATGATGTTAATGTTCAAAAAACTACAAGAAAAAATGTTACTCGATTCAATTGACTGAAAACTACATTCTGCAAGACTTGATTTACTTGGAAGATCAGTTTTAGAACCTTTTCGTTGTTTTTTCCAATAATTATGCATCATTTTCGACTTTTTCTTTTTTTTTTTTTTGAAAGAAATTGTTTAGAATTATTACCCATAATTTCAATACAACGTTTTCAACAACAAGTGATAAGAAATTAGGAATTACACTTACCAAGAAGAGGTCACAATAACACTAATTTAGTATGTAATTAAATAGATACCCAACAAAATAACTTATAAAAAAAAGAACAAATATCACTGTTCAAAAATTATCACTTATTTCAAAGCACTGCGGTGGAAGAAAAATGAAAGATAAAATTTTATTTTAATTTATTAATAAATAATGATAGTTTTTTAAAAATGGCTTTGTTTTTTATCGCTATTTCTTTGAGTTGCTATTTATCAAAATTATGTTTTTCCCACACTTTGTTTTATTTAACTTGCGAAAACTCATTTCTCAAAGTGACATTATTGTCAAAAAATTATTCCAAAGTCCAAAATCAAGAGAAAAATGAACTTTTCTTTCTACTGAGCTAGAATCTGAATCTCTGAAATAAGAGAAACTCATCGATGGTGAAATTCTGTTTGTTTACTTTATTTACATTTTATGACTAAAGGGACCAGGCACCAGGTAGAGAAGGTCGGATGATTGACAGCTGCCACAGAATAAAAATCTAAATAGAGTATGCAACTTACAGTACACCAAATCTGAACAGTTCATTCGGTACCCTAGAGCCTTAATACGCTGTCTTAACAAATTATCTTTTCGGTAAATTACGCTGCCACTTTCTTCAAATCTGTCTTTAACGTTTGAAATGATTCACTTGAGGATGTCGTACATATGGGTAACGTTGTTTATAGATTCTAGAGGCCAACAGAACATTTCTATATGCTTCCCCTAGGGCATACACCATATTAACAAGTTCTGCTTTAGAAAAATTCATAGCAAATCAAAATTAGTACCCAAGTTTTTGTTGCAGGCAGAAAGTGACTCAAACCGACTTGATTTTTAACGTTAAATAGAATAATTTAAAATTTTCCAGGTTTAAAAAGATGTACAACAAAACAGGTAAGGTTTCGACCTCCAAACCTTAGGTCTTCTAGAAACCTTATTGAATGCTCTACCCGATAAAGTAATAATATACAGGATGTTTTATTTGAAAAAATCAAGTTACTTGATAATTTGCGAATGTTAACGCTCTGTAGTAGTTGCAAAAAATTGATCGAATTTCAACCATAATAATTTAGGAGCAATTTATTTGCAATTGTTTTTATTCACTTTTTCTTTCTAGCAAAGCTGCTGCGATTTTTCAAAAATGGCATTTTTTTTCATAACGTTGCCCATAAATGATGAACGGTCCATGATAGATCCATAAAACTTAATATGGATTTTCTTAGAATTAAAGGCTCTTTCAAATAAGCGCATAATATACCGAGTGTTCCATAAGAAAAAATATAACTTTGTTGAGCCACGCTGTATAGCAATCATCTATAATTACGACAATATTTTTGGATCATATAAAAAATAAATGTCTATCGTTCAAAAGAAACCGCATTTGGTTATCTTTTTTACTGTCCGAGTAATCAACGAAATACGGAGCTCTGGGACATCCTGTATAATATCTTAAAATGCCTAACTTTAAAATCTGACGTGCTATGGAATTTTCTTTATCGTTTTTGAGTTTAGCACATAGAATTGAACAAAAAAATAACTATTTTCTTTTTAGTCACAATATGTATGCTTGTTGGCTAGTGAATTGTTTAGGTTTATGAAATATTGACAATTTTAATTAATTAATTTTTCACGAGCGCGAAACCGATGCTGCACCCTGTATACACATTCAAGTGTCCCCCTTGAATATAAAATTCACCTGTTTGAGCGTTTTTTGATACATTGAGTCAAAATGTCAAAAACTTAAGTGGCTTGTTTTCAGTGGGCCACCCCTGTATTTGAATTTGCAGTTTTTGTTAAGTTCCATGAAATATTCGTGGCGGTCATTTGACCGAAGCGTGATCTGACCAAGACATAATACAAGTATAAATAAATCGTCTTTTATTGTGATTTTTTTATTCTAAATTTAATCAATAAATGAAAAATAGAATAATAAAACAGCAATTTTTAAAATAAAATAATGATCAACAAACTTGAACAGTATTTAGAAGGAGACAACAAAACATTCAGATTTTTTTTAGTTTACTGATAAAAATTGATAAGACACTGAACGTATGTAGATATATCATCGCTACCTATCGGATGAAAATAAACAGTGGTAGTGGCGTGATCGACAAAACAACGTCGATAAAAATTCTAAAATTCAAAGTTTGTTTTCATTTTATGTTTACTTTTAGAATTTATAATAAGTAAGTACAACATTTTTTTTTAGTTACCCTATTACTGTTTTTAATTAGAAACAAATAACGTTAAATCGTTTTTACTTTTCACTTTTTCGTCATTGTAACTAACTACCATAATTTTATAAATTTTTAACATTTGTTTGTTAAACTTCAATGACCTTACAACGTAAATATGAGTGTATGTATATAAATATGTATACCTATGTGAATGTGGAATGTCAATGACATAACATAACAAAAATAAAATTAAAAATGTTCTGTCTGTGGACACAACGTATTAGAAAGAAAATAAAAGAGATAATATATATATATATATATATATCTATTTTTTTTAATTTTATGCGCAGCAGAAGTATTAATTTAATTAATTAATTGCTTTTATAAAACAAAGTTTTCGTTTCCATCCCTGACCAATCTACTTCTCAACCAAAAATGTTTTAACCTTCATCTGAACTGGTCATCAATTTTTATTTTTAAAACTTTGTTTACATTTTTTATACGAGGTTACAAGACCTTTAACACAATAAAATTTAACATTAAAAATTAAAGAAATAATTGCACTTATGCATTTCTATTTTTAACAACAATTTTTGTTGCATTTAAATAATGAAGTTAGTAACACAGCTATCAAAACAAGGTCAACGGTGTTTTAACAGTAAGTGGTCATATTTAATTTACTTAATTGGTATTGGAAAAAAAAACTTGGAGAAAACTTAGATATTATCACTTTTATCAGAAATTTTCTACGGTTTCCATGAAGAAAAATAATATAAAAGTCGATTAACGTCACACTACTTATTTAGAAGTCAGATGCAGACAAGTTTACATTCAACTAAATGTTGTTAGTCTACTGCTCGAAGGTCGCATTGAAATTTTCTTCCTTAACAATACATTCATGAAAAACATTGAGTTTGTTTACAGTTGTGTTGTGAGTAGGAACTTGTTTAGTGGGTTAGTTAGTTAATGCCCTATTTTTGTAAAGAGAGGTAATATTTTTTAATATGTCTAAAAATACATATTTGTTTTGGTTATTAATTCTTTGAGTATTTTCTGTGTCATTTTTAACAGGTTGGTATTTTAGATTTTTGATATATTGTGTGTCCCCGGATATAATTTTAGTTTTGAAAAATCAAGTGTGTCAGGGAAATTTTCAAAAAAAATATTTTTCTGTAGAGTAAAATGCCTTTTGTGTGACAAGAACTTATTAAGAAAGGTTGTTTAATATCAACATTTAGGCTAAATTTCAAAATCATCGATCTACTAATTTTTTTTCATTGTTTTTCCAGTATAATTGCTTTTTGATTAACAAATACGTCAAAAAGTTATTTAGTAGTAATAATCTTAATGTAAATTTCTTTTTTGTAATAAATAAACTGTTAAAAATAAAATTCTTTGATTTGTGAAATAATAAACATAAAAAAAGAAAAATCAAAGTTGGCCGATGATTTCGAAATTTTAGTTTACGTCGATTCTAAACAACTTTTCTTAATAACTCTTTGTACTATTTGCCACATAATTCAAGGCATACTTGATTTTTCAAAACTACAATTATCTTAGAAATCTTAGACTTTAACCAAGCAGGGCTGAACTCCAAAAAATTATAATTTAAATCCTGAATTTTTTTTTTCAAGAGTCGTTTGACCTATCAACACTGTATGTATAATAACAACCATTATTTAGTCAAAACTATTTTAAATGAATGTTAAATTATGTCTCAATATTGTGTACACAACCTACAAGTGATCGCGAGAGAAATTGTAAACAATTTTTTAAGATTTAAAATCCCTGCACATTGAACATTATTTTGGTCGAAAGAGAATAAACTGACTGGTTTTTTGATTTCTCAAAAATATTAGAATTTTAGTTATGCAATTGTGATTTAGTGTTATGTTTTTTATTTATAAATTTTAGTTTTCTCTTTGGAAAAGTAAAAAAAAACAAAATTAGGTTTCTCCGATTTAATGTAAGTTAATTACATTTAATTAAAACCAAACAATTCCAATTCTCTAAATGTTAGAAATGAAGAAAAAAATAAAAAAGTCACAAAACATACAAACAATACATTTAATACTTTCACCCAATATGCGAAAAAATTTCGTTTTCATAAAACAACAGTTGTTATTGGAAAAACATTTGTAATATAGGGGAATAAAGGCATAAGCGCAAACTTTCAAGGTCGTCATGGCGAATCAGAGGTGTCTTAAAGGACAATGCAAAAAATCAGCAGAAAATCAATAAGCCTTATTTTAGATAAATAGATAATCATCAAAATTTCTTTTAAAGGTTGATGTTTTAGCGCTTTCAAATAATTGATTGAAATTCTGAAAAAAAAAACTGAAACAAAAAGTCATCAGTATTGACAACATTTTCGGAAACAACATTATGATGTTACTGCTCATTTCATTTAAAGTACTAATTTATACTAAATTTACGTTGATGAAAATTTTGCAATACGTTCTATTTAAAAGCTCATACCTAACTTCTATTTTGTGTTGATTTGATTTAGAATTTTGCAAAAGACAAAAAAGAGTGTAAAATAAATTTTAATAATTTTGCATTTTATATTGTATTTAATTCATTTGTACAATAATTCCAAAAATAAGTGAGAATATTTGGTAAAATGATTCCGAAGTTATTACAAAAAAAAAACAAATTTCCATACCCATATTCCGAGGGCTGTAAAATTCTTATCAGTAGAGATAGGACACGAGTTATTATTAAAATTAACATCATTTTATAGGTCATTTTTGAGGTTCAAATAATGCTTCATATTTATGAATTGATTTAGGATACCTACCTGTATGTATTATCAGGTCTGTTTTTTGAATTTATCGGTTTACAAACAAAATACATATTAAATGATCATTTAAAACAACACTCATGATTACAAATTTATAAACGACACGTTCTATTTCCAATTATTGTGTTTTATTGTTTTTAGATGATTTTAACAAAAATGCTACCTAAACTGTATTCCACATGTCAGTTTGTAAACAGGATTGAAACCACATTGCTCAACAAAAATTTAGGAGTCAAATTTCTCAGTACTAAAGAAATCATCGACAGGGAAAAGAAATACGCTGCTCACAATTATCATCCTTTACCGGTCGCATTATCTAAAGGAGAAGGTAAATAAATCAACTCAAATCGACTAATCGGGTACTGATATTTGTATAGTAACTTTTATCTTATCTAAAATGATATTTGCATCGTAAATAGAATTTTTAATCGAAATCACGACTAAAAAATTGTTTTTAAGGTGTTTTTGTATGGGACGTCGAGGGAAAACGATATTTTGATTATTTGAGTGGTTACTCAGCAAATAATTTTGGACATTGTCATCCAAAAATTGTTCAAACACTACAAAAACAAGCACAAGTTTTGCATCACACGTCAAGGGCATTTTACTCGGATGTTTTTGGCGAATATGCACAGTTTGTCACTAAACTGTTTGGATATGACAAAGTTATGCCAATGAATACAGGTAAAAATTTATTTATGTCTTTTATAAGAAAAATCTAATGTGAAAAAATTCTAGTTGCAATAACATAAACGAAACATTTTTTTTTAAATAATTTCCTTATTTTTAACGGTTTGTTTAGCTTTACTTTAAATATTTTCACAAAATCTATATTATTGAAAGTTATTTGATTTGATGGGATTGACATAATTGTGATTTGCGCTACCACCTACTTTAAAACTAATAATGTAGATTGTTATTCAATAAATTCCCAAATAAATTCAGAAATTTACAAATTTCTCTAATATTATTTTTTTAATCAGTTAATATTACGAGTTTTAATATTTGTGTTTTTTTTCACAAAAGGTGTAGAAGCCGACGACACCGCTTGCAAGATCTCCCGCAAATGGGGCTACAAAGTGAAAAAAATTCCAAAAAATGAAGCAAAAATGATTTTTGCTGTTGACAATTTCTGGGGCCGTTCCTTAGCTGCAGTTTCCGCTTCTACCGACCCATCGTCGTTTGAGGGTTACGGCCCTTTTATGCCAGGCTTCAGTTGTGTTCCTTACAACGATCTCATCGCTTTAGAAGTAAAAAAAAAACTCTAAGTATATCTCAAACGATCCCAGCATCAATTTTTTTTTTTAATAATTTACCAAGAAATTTTTATCACCAAAATTTTGGTCATAAGCAATGTTATTGTCTTAATTAGATTCTAGAGACAGATAAATCCTAAATTGTTCAAATTTTACTAAATATCATTGTTATAAACTAACAAGGCGAATTTCATAATTTTTCCGTTAAAATTTTCGTGATTTGAGTCAGTTTGTTTTTTGAAATTGACTAAAATGGCGTTATCATGAACTAAAACAACAATTTTTTTATTTAGTATGGCAAAATTTTTTCATTTGTCTCAAATTGTTGGCTCCAAAATGACCTAAACTGCTTGGAATTGAGTAGAACGAAGATTTTGCTACTCTTTGATATAATTTGATGTTGCGTTTTAAACCGCTTAGAGCAATAGGCTGAAATAGCTTTACTTGCACTGAAAACCATCATTTTTGTACTTGCTTCGGGAAAATTTCTCCATCCGGGCTGATTGTAGGCTTCAGAACTCTCTAAACATTAAAATTGGTTGGATTGATTATAATAACCAATTTTACGTACCTACTTATTTTGTAAAAGTTTCTTGATTTGAATCAATTTCTGGCTTTCAAAACTGCTGAATTACTTAAAAGTGGCTAAAATGGCATATTGTGAATTTTTATACTTGTTTCCTAAAATCGATTAATTTGAGTCGATTTCTGGTTCCAAAACATGATAATCGCTTGTAGTTGACTAAAACAGCTCCAGCGACGATTAGGTAAAGAAGAAATGAACTGAGATGACAATTTTGGTTCTTGTTTCGGCTAAATGTTTCAATTTGAGTGTAATTTGCTAAAAATGCGCAAACCGGCGTACACGTATTATTAAAAAAACGATTTTTCCACTTGTTTTGACAAAATATCTCCATGTAAATGGGTTTCTGTCCTTAAAACCAGCTAGATTGCTCAGAATTGGCTGAAATAGCATTACTATCACTTAGAATGACACTTTTTTACCTGTTTTGGCAAAATCTTTCAATTTCAGTTAATTTATGGATTTCGTTCCAACGGGGAATAAAGTGACGCCTTATTCACTCGTGTTTGACTAATAATCTGAGGAACATTGTTAATCCCTCAAATAAAAATGCTCCCAGCTTTCTTCGCTTGCCTCACACGGTTACCTATGTACATTCTCGGGATTAAAACAGATGTTTATTTCCTTAATACACAATAGTATATTATACACAAAGGCAAAGAAATGCACTGCATTCCTGAAATGCCAAAGGAATAATACCAATTTTCTCCGGTGGTGTATGTACTATTTTTTGCATGGCTTGAATTAAAAACCCCAAGAAATTGTCTGGAATTCTTCAACAAAATTGAAAAATTAACATAAAGCCAGCATTGTTTTAAAATTACACCATGGCAACAATAAAAATGTTTGTTAACTATGAGCCAATTAATGAATAATGACTTAGTCATGGGAGCAAATATTTGCTCCCGCCGTTATGCTCATTTCTCTCCTTAACCCATTAACGCCCAGCGTCCTATTTAGAGGACAGATTTCTAAGATTTTTTTTCAACCATTTGAGGGTAAATTAAACTACTTACTCTTATCCCGCCTAAAAATAGACATAATAAACCCTTGTTTTTTTCGCTCAGTTTGTCGCAAACAAGCATTGGATGCACATTACAAATTCCTAAATATTGTATTTTTTTTATTAGCATGCAATGTTTCATAGTTTTGTACCAATATTATTATATCATGAAAGGTAAATATTTTTTTTTGTCATTTTAGTGAATAATATAAGTGTGTGTGTTGATTGCATTCAAAACTTGAACTGAAAATAATTGGTGTTTTTTGCAAAGTGCCTTTAAATTCCGGTGTCCTCTGAATAGGACGCTGGGCGTTAAAGGTACGAAAACGCAATATTTCTTCAAAAACTTATTTTTACTGCTTTTTCACAAAAATGTTAAAAAAACCTTTTATAACATTTGAAGAAYCTGTAAAATAACTAWATTCCAAAGAATTCAAAGCGAAAATTGTAGTTTTGCCTCCTGAGGTCGWATGTCTCCCTGACGGAGAAGATACAAAAGGAGAAAAATTGTAGAATATGACGCCAACGATTCAGCAGAACGGCTTGCAGTCGAAACAAATCAAGACCTTTTGGATCTCGTAACTGATTCTGGCCACCAAGATGAGATGAAGACAGTTACATTAGTTCTTGGCCTTTCTACATTTTAACCAAAGCATAAATTTATTTTTTCAACAAAAAAAACGGAGTAAGAAAACTACTCCTTGGTACAGTTGTAGACCATCAGGAATTACATAACATAGAACGCAAACTTTTATGCGATAAAAAAAAACACGTGTAATTTTTTTCAATCTAAATATTTGAGAAAATTTTTGACATTTCTAAAACTGACGACGTCCTAATAAAATTTAGTAGAGCGAAACTGATAAGGTTTAGTTATAAATTCTGAGCAGTGTGTGGCAAAGATTTTGATACAATTTTTCTTTTGGATTCTGACCAAGASTCGMCAGAGAATACAAGAAAACCATTWGGAACCAGAGTTGTTTGCAAGATGGTAAAGGCGGRSAAAACARCAGAAAGTCATAAAAAATTTAAAAAACAATGAAAACATATTTTTTAATTGGAATATTTACTTAAAAAAATAAATTAACACGATTTTACCGTTTTTATTTCGGTAACAAATTTGTATTACTTTTATACACTCATCTGCCCAGCGTCCTATTTAGAGGACAGCCGTTTGTGACAAAACTGTTCCCTAAAAATTTTTTTTTTCTTTAGAACTACACTCTTTGTGAACACTCTTTGTAAATTTTATCGAAAAATTCCATAAAAAAATTATTTGGGCGTTAATGGGTTAAGGAGAGAATTTTGACTTCTGTCACAATTTTAACATAAAAAAAAAGTTGATTTCTACTCCCCATCGTGCAAAAATAACTAATAAAACTTAATAAATGACCTAGAATTGAGTAAAATAGCGTTCTTATGCTTTAGAATGACTTTTTTTTTTTGCTTATTTTGGTAAAAAAAATGTAAGGGATAGTTCTTTTTCCAGTTGTTTATTTTATAATTTGTCAATTTTTATTAAGGAATGTCAAATATTTCAGTGGGGTTCTCTGGAATCTTAAATCAATAGTTGGTATGCTGAGAGTTCAAGTTGCCCATTTTGAACAACCCTTGTTTCAGAAAGCTCTTCAAGACCCTTTAGTCTGCGGTTTTATGGTCGAACCCATCCAAGGCGAAGCTGGAGTGGTCGTCCCAAGTGAAGGCTACCTACAAGGCGTGAGGAGTTTGTGTACCAAATATAACGTCCTGTGGACGGCCGATGAAATCCAGACCGGATTAGGAAGAACTGGAAAAAGACTAGCTGTGGATTACGAAGATGTCAAACCTGATATCTTAGTCCTGGGCAAGGCTTTAGGCGGCGGTGTCTATCCAGTGTCTGCATGTTTGGCAAATGACCCTATAATGCTAGTCATTGAACCCGGGACTCATGGATCCACTTTCGGTGGTAATCCCCTAGGTTCTAAAGTAGCGATAGCAGCTTTAGAAGTATTAGAAGAAGAGAATTTAGCACAGAATGCATTTGAACTTGGAGAAATGTTTCGTGTTCAATTGCGAAAACGGTTAAGTAAGGATGTTGTAATTGAAGTAAGGGGAAGAGGATTACTCAATGCAATAGTCATAAATAAAAGTAAGTAACAGAAAAAAAGGTTATCACTTGGTTTTTACACATCTGGTTTTATTTGGAAATTAAGTGATAGTGTAGCTATCGTTCGAAAACAGGAGGCAATGTTTGAATCGGAAATTTCCGATGTTTTTTTACTCGTTACCAAAATATTAAATAAAATTTATTCTTAGTTTACATTTTTGATTAGTCAGATAACATATCTTCTAAAACGAAATTTTACGTCTTGATTAGAGTCTTTATCTTACCAAAGTATATACATAACTTTTGTTAACACCAGTAGATTCGGCTCTAGAAATCTCAACTGGTTTATGAAATAATTGAAGAAAAAAAACAAAGAAAAATCTTTTTTGTCTCGACAATAATCGTAATTGATATGTTGTTACACATTTTTAACAGCTACGGTATCTCCTTTTAACAAGGCATCTGTATCTGTCAAATTTACCATACACCGTACGAGAAAATAACACAAACATTTTAAGCACTTGGAGACTTCGAAAAAATGAGACTTTATAGTAAAAGAAGTTCATTAATACCAAGAGAAGATACCGCACTTAATTAGAATTTTGATCAACACCATCTTGTGGTGAAAATAGTAAACGCATAGACCCCTCATATAGCGGTGTCCCAGGCAGGCTTGTATATAGGAAATTAACATGGAAAATTAGTTTTTATTTTTTTGCGGCTGCAGGAGTAACAGATATCAAAATCTGACTTATGGAGTTTGTAGTGCTTGAAGAGGGCTATCTTATCGATATTTTTGTCGATTCTCCAATTAACTCCACATGAGCGAAAACGACCATCGAAAAATCGAAATTTGAATTTGCCGGGTTAGCGTTACTAAGAAACGAACTATCAAGTCATTGTTGCCAAAGGAGAATTTGTCACAATTTGACTTGATAGTTCGTTTCTTAGTAACGCTAACCCCGCAAATTCAAATTTCAATTTTTCAAGAGCAGTTTTCGCCGAAATGGAGTTAATTGGAGAATCAACAAAAATGTCGATAAGATTGTCCTTTTCAAGCACTACAAGCTCCATTAATCAGATTTTAATTTTTGTTACTCCTGCAGCCGGAAAAAAATAAAACTAATTTCCCATCTTAATTTTCTATATCCAAACCTGCCTGTGACAGCCGGTAGATTGAGTACTGACAAATCGAAATATGAATTAATCAAAGATCTGTCCTCAAAAAGTTTTGTACATTATTTTGTGCGTTAGGTATTTTCCAGTTCAGTTTTATTAAAGCACTCAGCTTCGCTTCGTACTTTAATATATTAAAATTTCACACTGTAAAATTGTACCTATTCCACTTATAATCCAAATAACAATTGGCCGGCATCTTCAAGAAGCTCTGATCAAAAATGTGGCAACTCAGAAACATATTTTCAGGAATGTCGAAATCTTGCTATATTTGTTAGAGGTTTACTGTTTCCTTGGATATTTTTTTTCCTGTTTTGACCTGGAGGCTTCATAAGTTTTTAAACTTTTTTTCGGACAATATAACTGGTCAAATTTAATTTTCCATCTTATTAATTTTATGAAAAAAAGAATTTTTTCTCAGGGTGAATGAATATACATTATGTTTTTGAACTGTTTGTTCCAATAAACACACAGGTATAAAAGTATAAAATAGAATGGATTAAAATGACTCTTTTATGATTAATTAACACAAGTAAAAGTTTCACCTTTCAGATATGGGGTAAAAACACTATTTTTTTGCCTAAGTGTTTTTCACTTTTACTTGACATTTACCAATGTCTCTTATGCTGCTGCAGCATTTTCTTGAGAAGTAGAGTGTAGATTATCAACATTCGATATTTTGCCCTATTAACTACACTAGTTATTCTCTAGTTAAATCAATCAACACCTGTGAAAATCTTAACACAAATTCCGAAACTGACGCGTGACGTCCTGGTTATTTTGGTGATTTACTTGATAATAATAATTAGTGTGTTGCTCTTTTCTCTTCATCTGAATCGTTTGCAGATAAAATAGTATATGTTATTTGGAGTAAAAGTGAGTTTATGTAGCTCAGCTGAATCATTTGCCTCACTCCGTTCGGTAAAATGAACGTTCAGCTTCGCCATAGAAACATTCACTTTTACTCCAACATAATATACCTACTATTACTAACTAATGGTTTTGAAATATTGTTTGCCATCTTATCTTTTCACAATAGAAAGTAAAACATTATTTAACGGATACTTACAAGACGCCTCGTATCTTATTGTTTTAGAAATTCAAAATTTTGTATTGAATTTTTCTTGATTCAAAGTTGCATGTTAAGTATCTTTTCTTTTTCAGATTATATAGAAGCCTGGGATGTTTGTCTGAAAATGAAAGAAAATGGTCTAATAGCAAAGCATACTCATGACAACATCATCAGATTTGCACCACCACTTGTAATGACTAAAGACCAACTTCAAGAGTCCACTGAAATTATTGTAAAAACAATTAACAGTATTGAAACAAAATAGCTAACAAATGTTTTGTAAGACTTTATACAGGTGTCCGGAAAGTCGCGCATCTCCGTGACACTGTATCATCGGGCGGTGCCTTAGACGACAAGAAAAATGTTTAAAGTAATCTATTTATAAAAATTTTGAGGTTATGGGAGTTTACATTTTGCACTTTGACTATTTATTTCTGTAAGAAAAATAATTTTACAAATTTTCAAAGTACAGGCTATTAGAAGAGGAAACAAGGAAGCTGTATCATAAAGTGTAAATCTGTTTAGTGTCATTTGTGGCTTTTATTGGCAAAATTTTTGTACCTTTACTAAATAATTATAGAAAAACATATACAAGATCATCAGTATCATTAAATAGACATAAAAAAATGTCAAAAAATAAATGTCAAAATTTTTTACAGAATTTTTTAAACATTTTTTAGTACTCTGGGGGACTACCCAATTACTCCCTTTCAAAGAAATGCGCGAGTTTTCGGACATCCTGTATTTTTATATTATCTGTTAAACATGTAATTTTACTAAAATAAATGTTTGTTTTTATGTGAATTTTTGATTGACACGTTCAAATCACTTATTGAATGTGTTCACCTATGGTGTTCACTTATCAACTTGTCAATATCAACTCAGATGTACGACCTACTCATACGTACCCATACCACAGATTACTTGCTTGAAAGCGAATCTGTGCCCATACATACCCCAAACATATACCTACCCATACGTATGGGTTCCTTATCCTATAAGGAAAGTATTGTAATCGACTGAAATTTGACCTACCTATATTTTTACATTTCTGGACGAATTATAGCTTCAAGACACCAAAAAAATTGATTTGGGCCATATACGATAATCCGTGTTTTAGATGTGGGTGTAGAAAAAACGTAATAACATTTAATTTAGCAGTTAGTGTTATTAGTATTTTTTGTTGTCAGAAGTACCCTTTTCGTAAATAACACTACATTTTGTATAGAAAGTTAAATGTTTATGTATTTTTGAATAAAAGACATGCAATTTTTGACGTACAGTTGGAGTCTAAATACTATGGTCGTCACTTTTGTGACACTACATTGAAGCTTTAACGTTAAAATGATTGACAGTTTCAAATTAATCACAGCTATTATATTTTCCTATCAAAAATATGGCACCGGCCGTAGCCGATAAATTTAGAATCCTTTTCCTATCTTCTGAGGTAGCCCAGTCAAATTAGAAAAAAATAGGGCGATCGGTGGAAAAAAATCGTAGGGAGTTGGAAGCCCAAGGAGGAGGAGGAGGGGGCTAAAGGTGTCTTTTTTTGTTTTTTTGCTTATATCTCGGAAACTATTACTCCTAACGGTTTTTGCCTGCTTATCAAATTTCCTACAAAAATGGTCCTTTGCATTATTGTTGTTGTAGGACTAACTGTAAGCAAGTTATAGGGCTGACAAAAAACATCATTTAAAAAAATGTGCTTTATCCGCATTTAAAACAGAATTAATCTTGTGATTTGAAAAAACTGAAAGCAAATTGAATTTATTGGGTGCAACACTTCATTAGAGAGTCTATAAAATCTTCCGAGTCGTCCTCATATGCTGCATCTTCGTCTTCAACTTAAACATTGAAAACCGAATTACAGTCTTGCTCAGTACAGTATTAATAAATAGATAATTTAATATCGATGATTTGAATAAAGCTTACAGTAAATTGAATGTATTGGATCCAACAGTTTATTAGAAGGTGCCACGAGGGTCTATCAAGTCTTCCGAGTCATCCTTATATGCTGAACTAGCATTTGCCTGCGACTTTGTCCGCGTGTATTTCTGATATTAAATGGGAAAAAGCCCGTTCACAAAACCATTGCATAGGCTTAGGTACTATATAAAGCTAAAATTACCTATGTTATGTATAGGATTCAGTTATAGTAGTCTCGTTCTTCGCTCTTCGCATGGGCTATATTTATGGATAAATAGTAAATGTTAATTTTCATAAAGTGTCGTCTCAGTGTACTTCTGCACTCTTAAAATTCGAAATTTCATGTTTCTAATTTTGTTTTTAAGCGTTTAAACTCTATTTTATCTCATTAAAATTTGAAAAGTACATTTCTACACTCTCTAAGGATCATATTTTCTAAATTTAATGTTTTTATGTCCCTTTAAATGTATACACCGTTTTATTCCCTTAAAAACTAATTTTCGAAAAATCTGATTTTAGTGCCCCTTTACACCTCTAAAGAATTTTATGTTTATATCTTTGTTTAAACATTTACACCCCATTTAACTCCCTTACAGATTGATTCTCTCTTTCATCCAATTTTTTTTTTATATCTTCGTTTAAATATTTACCTTTCAGGCAGACTAGCTTAGTTAGGGAACGCTCTATATCCTAATGAAATGTGTTTCAAAGGATTTTTAATGCAATTGTATGTAGACTCCAAACTTTTGAAGCCTACGGTTAGTCCTACGACAAAAATAAATAGGTCCATTTTTGTAGAAAATTTTGATGCAGAAATAGACATCTACAGAAAATTCTGCATAAATTACATAAACGATGAGTTTGTATTTATAGACCCTGTCAGTTTTTTTTAAATTACAAGACTAATTCTGTTTTAAATGCAGATAAAGCCAGTTTTTTTAAATGATGTTTTTTTCTGCCCTATAGCTCGCTTACGGTTAGTCCTACAACAAAAGTGCAAAGGACCATTTTTGTGAAAATTTTGTAAGCTTTAATTTTGATAAGAAGATAAAAACCTACAGGAGTGATAATTTCCGAGATATAAGCAAAAAACCAAAAAAGACACCTTTAACCCCCTCCCCCTCCTCGAGCTCTCCCCCCACCTTCGGGGACTTTTGATATATGTTTACCCAAATGTAAAGAAAGCGTTTAAAAAAATTCCAACTCTCTAGGATTTTTTTTCACCGATTTGTCTAATTTGACTGGGCTAAGGGGTGGTCTTTGGGGCAAATTGCAGAAAGGTTGCATTTACTCAAAAGTACAGTTACATATATTGTCAATAAATGGAGAAAAACGGGCTTGGTGGAAAGCCGACGACCAGGCGCTGGCAGACACAGAGTATCCATACTCGATGAAGATGTAGCTTTGACTGAAGTAGTGCGAAAGGATCCTTTTGCAACAGCTGTTCAAGCTAGAAATTGAACGGGCTTTCCTGGATGCCTAAAAACAGCGCAGCGACGCATAAAAAGTAGCGGGCTTCGTAATCATGTTGCTGGGAATAAATCGGGGTTAACCCAACAACACAAGGAAGCAAGAATGAGTTTTGCGCTGGAATACCTGTTAAAAGATGAAGCTTTTTGATCAAGAGTAGTTTTTTCTGACGAAAAAGTGTTCCAGTCTTCTCGTAATGGTCGAATTAGAGTGTATAGACCAAGAAACTCTAGATTTAGTGAACGATACGTTCATAATACGTACAACAGTGGACGTCTGTTAATATCTGGCCATGGATTTCTGTAGGTAGTCCTGGGGTAATGCCTCATGTAGAAGAACGGCTCAACAATGACGTTTACATTAGGATTCTTGGAAATATTATGGTTCCTTCTGTAGCAATCGCGTACCCAAATAATTATATTTTTCAGCAAAACAACTGCTCTATCCAAACCGCACGTAGAGTAACAGAATGGTTCGAGAATCAATATAACCGTCCTTGATTGGCCGAATCACAGTCCTGATCTCAACCCTATTGAAAACATGTGAGGTTTGTTGGTTACAAAATGAAAGCAGTCCCATTTGGTGTTTGCTAATAGGGAGGAGCTCTTGACTGCGATATCTGATGCATGGCAGTCATTATCACAGGATTATCACAGAAATTTATGTCTCTCCATGCCCTTTAGGATACAGAAAGTTTTAGACGCTAATGGTGCCATGACCAAATACTAATATTAAGTATCTTTTTAGTGTTCGCCTATATTGTCTCTGTGTACTCTAACTCGATCGTTATGAGAAGACTGCATTTTTTTTAGAACTAAAATAACTATTGTATTTATTAGCTTTTCCACTTATATTGTTGAATTGTTGAAACTATTATCTATACTTAAGATGTTTTGTTTATTAAATTGTCCTTTTTTCATGACATATTTGAGTATCTTTAATAATGATAAAGTAACAATCTCGAAATTTTTCATGACTGGCACCAGGCTTTCCTATATTTCATACGTACACGAAACCGAATATTTCACGAAACTACACAACACAAGTGTTAACTTCAATAATCCAGTTCCAAAAATACTTATTTATTCGACGAGTTTGAGTGTAAATCGGACGCTTTATTTCACCTCGTGGATGATAAACCACTAGTTACACTTAAACAAGTTGAACAAAAACACGATTAGCCCGTCACACCAAACTTTTATTTTAATAGCACAACGCGTTTCGACCACAAAGTGGTCATCCTCAGGTGAGAATAAAACTAACTAATTTAACAATGGTAATGCCTTATATACTAATTTTCCGACTTTCACTTTCCCTACCCTCAACTAACGAGTAGAGGGGAGAAAAGGGAATGGGGCCGTTGTCTGAATTCATGAGATTATCTCTATT